CGCTACCTTAAGCTACCGTACTAATAGAGGAAACTCCATAACAGTTTTTTAGTTTGGACAAGGTATAGAATTTCTCTTTATATAGTGCAGTTTTTCTTTTTAAGAATAAAGAGACATTTTATAACTTGTAGTGTAATTGGTAGAAAGATGGCAAGCCAGTATACGAGGTGGTTACCGTGGACACTCATCATTTAGGGGTGAAAGGTCAAATGTTTTGTGGTTAATCTCTATTGTTTATGGAGTATACTTTTCTGAATTATGTTTTTATTTTCAATTTAATTTAAAATCCTAAAAGTCTGTCTAAAAGGTTATCTTAGAAATGACAAGGTGCCTTTCAGGAACACCCTCAGCCAAATCGCTGACAATCAGTATCCCTTACCCAGTAATTTGAAGTCTGTTATTTGTAAAAAAAAAGATGATATATAAAATTCTCTTTACTAAATGTTTAAGTTTATGGCTCACAGAGTTACTAAAAATAGAAGTGATGTAGCTATAGAATAATTGTTCATATTAATCCCATGTGAGCAGATGATAACTTACATCAACACCAACTTCATTACAATGAATTCTAAGAAAAATGACTAGCCTCATAACAACTCCACATTAGTCATATTAGAAGCAAATAGACCATCAGTTGCATTTATTGTATGCTAAATAAGTACTGTGGAATACTTTATTTTTGCTGGAATTAATTTTCGCTGAAAAGGCTTTTTGGGCATTTTGCTTGGAATTTATTTTAATGTGAAATATAGGAAAAAAAAGTATATTCGCTGGATTATATTTTCACGGAATCATCCCTTCAGCAAAAATAGCAAAAATAAATTCCAAGCGAAAATAAGGTATTCTACAGTATAATACGACTTGTTTTGACCATTCATTCACCTCTGCTATTTACGGAAACACTACTAATTGAGCAAATACGATATTTGTCAGTCGCCGTTTACTTGTCAATGATTGTTTGTCTAAATATGAAGACTTATATGAGTAATTAATCTTATAAAAGAATAATTTTATTATCTAGAGTGAACATCCAAGCATTTTCACTGCCTGGCAACCACAGTCAGTGAAAACAGCAGTCAAAAACTTTTGGAAACATTGGGCTACTCTCCTGAACAGCGCAACATATATAAATTTTGTTGTTCAGGATTGTCTCATAGTTGAGCTTGTGCTAATTACTCAACTTTAGCCATTTCCACTGGCTTGTCACCCACCGTTCCACAGAATCTCATGCAGAGCCTGTAGAAATACATGGTGCAGTGGTACGCATCTTTGAACATTCTGTGACGTGGTTCTGCCGCCGAGAATAGGTCAATAAAAAAATAAACAGTTATGCAGTGACTTACCACTGTCATCGATATCATTGTAGTCGTAAACCACAGCAGTTTCAATATCCTTGTAAATATCATCATCATCAAAGTCTGATACCTCTGAAGCCCGAAACGATGGCCGCTTGAGTCCTATGACCAGCTTCTGTGTTCTAAAACACATAATCAGTTCACAGTTATATGAGAATCATGAAGATACAGGTATAACCCGTCGTCAGTTTATGTAATATGAGGTTATTGCAAGGATGTCCCAAAGTATGCAGTAAAGAAAGATTAATCAACGACGATTTATAGCACATTGTAACTTACAGTGACAGATGTTTAATAATATATTTTAGGCAAAGCGGTCATTTTTGCAACATTATCACAAACAAAGATCACTAATTTGGTCATCAATTCTGCACTACCACCTCAAAAACATGTTCAGCATTAAAGTGTGCCCTCTTTGGCAATTCAACATCCCGCCATATTATTTTATGTTCATGGCTACCTACACAGTGCCAACTCTGATTGAGTGCTGTTTTATGTCCATGGCTACCTACACAGTGCCAACTCTGATTGAGTGTTGAGCTAGGCGATTAGGTGCCGTACGCGAGCGCCGGTTCGAGTCACGCACGCAGTACGTATTTACTATAATTAGACATAGTCTTTACCTTGCCGTTTATTCGGTGTTATTTGCTTACTTTACTTCCTATGTCGACAGCAACTATGAGTTTAAAAATTATTTCTCAGTACTTATTCACTGTTAAAATGCTGTACCATTACTTTCACCATCCTACTACAGCCAGATCTG